CTATTTGGAAACACACCGAAAGAGGAAGGAGAACGCCCCTCTACCCAAACCGCTAAAAATGGTTTTCCCTAGAAGGGAACTGGGGCTTGGGAGTGATCAAGGAGGGCTTCTGTTTAATTTTTATTGATTGACTCTGTTTTTTTCTTTTCAGAGACAGGGGCTCACTCTGTCACCCAGGCTGGAGTGAAGTGGCGTGATCACAGCTCATTACAGCCTTGAACTTCTGGGCTCAAGCAATTCTCCCTCCTCAGCTTCTCAAGCAGCTGGGATTACAGACTTGTTTGACTCTTTTATAAGAACATATTCATATATCAGTTGTGAAGCTAAAAATAACAAAATAACAAAAGGATTTTTTTTTTTTTAACAGAGTCTCACTCTGTTGCCCAGGCTGGAGTGCAGCGGTGTGATCTCAGCTCATTGCAATCTCTGCCTCCTGGGTTCAAGCAATTCTCCTGCCTCAGCCTCCCAAGAAGCTGGGATTACAGGCATGTACCACCACGCCTGGCTAATTTTTGTATTCTTAGTAGAGACGGGGTTTCACCATGTTGGCCAGGCTGGTCTGGAACTCCTGACCTCAGGTGATCCACCTGCCTCGGCCTCCCAAAGTGTTAGGATTACACACGTGAGCCACTGCACCTGGTCATTATTTAATTTTTAAAAAAGAAAGAAAAAGAGAAAACCCAGAGTGAGACATGAGGATCTCCTGCCAGCAGCAAATCTTGTGCTGCTTTGGAGGAAGGAATTCAGTGCAAAGGTCTAAAGATTCAAATTCTGCTGTGCCACATACTCACTGTGTGACTCTCAGGGCCCTTTCCCGTAGAAATCACTAGGTGAATGGATGAAATGAGAAAACAATCTGTGACAGTTTCTAGCTCAGAATCTGGGGACAGCCACTGTTCTGTACATGTTGGTTTCTTCCTGTCTTTAAAAGCAAGCAACCAGCAGGGCGTGGTGGCTCACGCCTGTAATCCCAGCACTTTGGGAGGCTGAGGCGGGCGGATCGTGAGGTCAGGAGATCAAGACTATCCTGCTAACACGGTGAAACCCCGTCTCTACTAAAAATACAAAAACAGCTGGGTGTGGTGGTAGGTGCCTGTAATCCCAGCTACTTAGGAGACTGAGGCAGGAGAATGGCATGAACCCGGGAGGCGGAGCTTGCAGTGAGCCGAGATTGCACCACTGCACTCCAGCCTGGGCCACAGAGCGAGACTCTGTCTCAACAACAACAAAAAAAGCAAGCAACATGGCCAAGCTGCCCCTGGAGCAAGCTGGAAAAGGACCCACACACTCCCAGCCTGTCAGTCCACACCACAGTCTCTTGTGAGTCCTACCCGGTGGTCACATCTTCACATTCAAGGCCTGCCCCATGCTGAGCTCCAGCTTCTCTTGTTGCAGTTTCTCCTCCACATGTGTACATGCGTCCTTAGGAGGACGCATCCTCAAGGACAAGAGTGACACTTTGCCTCCTACTCACAATCTGTGGGTCCATCCCTTCCTCCAAACTCCACCCTCCCAGACCCTCAGGCTCCCAGGTAACTATTTCCTGTACAGCAGAAGATGGACCAGCTGAGTCTGGCCACAACCAGTGTCCTCCCGATGGAATGCTCTTTGGCCCCCAAATGTGAGGTCACTGGAGATGCGAGCCTGGTCTTGGGACCAGCTGGGCAGGTAGCATACAGGTTTGGTGACTGGCCATGAGGTAAGGCTGGTGGGCTTGAGGGGCATAGGTGCAGATCTAAAGGGATGCAGTAGCCCTTTGGGCTCAGGAGAGGGAGCTGGGAGGCTGCCAGCTTCTTGCTGGCCCCAGATGAGTCCAGGGGGCCCATAGCATATTGGATGGGTGAGTAGTCTGCCCCCGCCCTTCAGTCCCAATCTTCTGGCCCCGAAGCCAGGGAGTGTCCAGTGAACTCACATGCCCCAACAAGGTCCTGGGCAGACTGAGCACCGGCATCTCTCCTTCTACCCTCAGACATGGGCCAGGGTGAAGCCTGGAAGATTCTCCGCATATATCCCAGCTTCCCTGGAGAGCAGTGGGGCTCTGGGTACCCATACTCCATACACACATAGAGGTACAAGGCTTGGCACTGGGTTGGCATGAGATAAATAACGGTCATTGTGGTTGTGTGATTCGGACCAGTTAAAAATGGGGACAATAACCTTCCTCCAAGAGTGACTGGAAGGATTAGACTAGCTAATGTATGTGAATTGCTTAGAACAATGGCAAGTAGAAAGCCCTACAGAAGCATTTATGAAATACACATATGAAAACAATAGGCCCGGGTGCACAGGCGCTCACAAAGGCACACACAAACACACACAACTGCGCCTCCAAGTCATGCACCCACAGCTTCAGACACCAAAGCTCACCGTGAACTCACACAGGGACTCAGACACTCACAATCACACAGACCCAGATGAACACTATGCCCAGAGTCCCACAGAGCCCTGCTCTGACACATAGACTTACTCTCAGGACACCCACACCCATCACCCTGTCTACCCCTCAGACCGTCACACCAAACTGTGGCGGGGGTGGTGGTGGCTCTATCCCCTGGCATTCGTCAGTACTTGGAGTGTCTCTGCAGAGGGTGTTGAGCTCTTCTGAACCTCAGTTTCCCCATCCACAAGACCTTGTATGGGGCTGTCTTTGGTGGGGAGCCTTTGCTGGGGCCAGAATTGTGAGGGTGTAGGCACAGGTAAGTGGGAAGTGCTGAGGACCACAGAGAAAGGGAGAGCCTCTGATGATGGGATTCGCAGGCAGATGTTTCTTCCAGGCCCTCTTTTTAGAGATGGGGCAACTGAGGCATGGAGAAAGACAGTCCAGGCTTACACAGGCATCATGCAAAGGTGGAGGAATTCCAGGCTCCTGGGAACCGCCTGGAACTCTGCCCTGTGTAAGGAGCTGCTGCTGGTTAGGAGGAGGAGGCTACCTGACTGCCGCACTCTCTAGCAGGCAGATACCCCCACTGGGGAGCAGGGAGAAGGGGCTTCGAAGTTAGGCGCACAGGCAGACAGCCTCCTCAGGAACTGGCTGGTCCCAGGGGATGGGGTTGCTGTGGAATAGGATTGAGGGGCTGGGACAGCCCCCTTCCGAGAAAGTGGCCCCCAGACCCTGACCCGGAAGGAGGAGGTGCTGCCCACTCTGCGTCTCCAGCTCTCTGCCTTTGCCTGTCTCTCCCTATTTTTCTTTGCTGTTCTTGGTCTGTCCACCCCTCTAGCTGGGGGGAATCTCTCCTCCCCACCCGGCTTTGTCTCTGTCTCTCCTCTCCCTCTAGCCTTCCCAACCATTCTGCTTTTAGGTCTCCACTCTCAGGGAGTGACAGTCTTCCCAGGGGTCTACTCACTTCCCCACAGGGTATGCTGTGCTTCTCCTACAGGGGTGCACTGTGAGGTCAGTCTCTCCTTTAGGGACCTCCATCGCTCCTCCATGCCACACCACACCCACCTCCTTGGAGAAACAGCTTCTACCCTGGGTGAAGCCAGACATGTGTGCATGTGTGTGTGTGAGGGCTGGAGGGGGCCCCTAAATCCTACCCCCTGCCTGGATGATTCTGACCTCAGACCTACATTCCCCATGTCCGGGACTGCAACAAAACTTGCAGAAAACAGAGGTCCCCAAAGCAAAGTCTGTGGGAGTATGTAGCAGGGCCAAAGCCCAGCCTTCTGCTGGGTCACACTGTCATCTTCCAGGGAGAAACAGCCATGGTGCTCACAGAAGCAGAGGATGGGGAAACCTCAACCACAAATTTCCAGATTTGGGACCCCAAACGAGGCTTCAGAAATAGGGAGGCTTCAGGCAGCTGGAACCCACAGTCCAGACATCCCAGAGACAGCAGGCACCCAGGATCCTGGATCAGAGGGGACTCTCACTTAAAGTTCGAACTACTGGGGGAACTCAAGACTGCGTGCCTTAGACCTATCCCGCGGACCCCAGGGTAAGCCCGCAGCCTGTCCCGGAGTGTTGGCGGCGGGGGACTCACCAGCGCGTACGCGGAGCTGAGCACGGGGCAGCAGAGCAGGAGCGCCAGGCCGGGTGCGATCCGGGCGGTCCCCATCGCCACCGCCTAGGGCCGCGTCCCTCGGGGCAGCCGCCGCCGCCGGCCCTGGTGGTGGTAGGGGGTGCAGAGCTGCGTCAGGCCGGCCGCCCCGCCCACGCCCCGGCCTAGGGGACCCCGGCGTCCCGGCGGCCCGAGGCCCCGGGGCCCGGCGCGGGGCCCATGCGCTGAGGGCGAGCGAGCGAGCGAGCAGCGCAAAGGAGGGAGGGAGGGAGGGACAGGAGGGAGGGAGGGAGAGCCGGAGGCCGGGCGGGCGGCGGGCGGGCGCCGAGCGCTGCGGAGCGGCCCGTCTGCCTCGGAGCGGAGAAATCACATCCATATGGCCGGGCCCCCCGCCCCCGGCCCGCCCCCCGCCCCCCTCCCGCGCCGCCTTTTCTTTCTTTTTTTTTTCTTTTGGGGAAATGGGAGCTGTGGCTTCGCCCCACGCCCAGTGGGGGGAGGGGGCGGGGGAGGGGTCGGGGTCGCGGTCTGCGGGGGGCGCGCAGGACTGTTATTTTTAGCTCCGCGGCTTTCGCCCGTAGGGAGTCAGGGCCGGGCAGGGGGCGCGTTCTGAGTCGCGCGGGGCGTGCAGCTAGGGGACGCGATCCCAACTTTGCAGTCACACTGAGCCCTTCGGTGTTCCGGCCGCCAGCCCCCGGCCGCTCGGCCTCCTGAGACCCCAGCCCCTCAGCAGTGGCAGCCGCCTCCCGCACCGCTTCCCCATCCTCGGCCCGAGCCCCGCTTGCGCCTGTGCGGCTCGGGCGCGCCAGCGGCCCCGACGCTCTGTCGGTCTGCCTGTCTGTCAGTCCGTCTCTAGCTCCCCCGGCCTTGGCCTCAGTTCTTCCAGCGGCCCCAAGCTCCGTTTCGGTCACTCCCTCGCTCCCTCCCTCCCCTTTTTCTCTCTACGAAAACATTTGCAAGTTTCCAAAAAAGCCACCGAGCCGAGCGGCGCGGGGCTGGCGACTCCCCCGGGTTCCGAGGAGGCGCCGCCGACTGACACCGAGACAGAGCAGCCTGGCTGCTCCGGCCAGGCCCGGAGTCGCTCCTCCCGGACTCCGGCCACTTCCCCTCGGCGCAGGTCCCCAGCCCCGACTTACTCCGAGCGCGCCGCCGCGGCCCCCGCCTTGCCATGGATGTCGGGGCCCCCCCGACAGCCTCCCCAAGCCAGCGCCCCGTCCGCGGCCCCGGGGGGACTTCATGGAGCTCTCGGGATACCCCGCCACTGGCCGGCCTAGCCTCCAGCGCCCCCCGCCCGGCCGCCGCTCGGAGCCACCGCCCGCCGTGCGCGTCCCTCGCCTCGGCGTCTGCCGCTCCCCTCCCCCCCAGGTCGGGCGCCTCTTCCCTCCCCCGCGCCCTCCCGGGCCTCTCCGCCCCCACCCCCTCCGCCGCCGCCGACGCGGGAGTGTGGAGAGGCCGAGAGGAGCCCGCTGCCCCCCGCCCCGGGACATTGCGCTAGAGGCTGAGGCCCGGGGTCTTACAGCGGCGGGATGTGAGTGCCGGGGAGACGGGGCGGGGGCAGCTGTAACATCGAGACCCGAGCAGGGAACCCGGGACGCCGCCGCCGCTTCATTCTCTTTTGGAAAGCACGGGCTTTCCCCCCGCCCCCCCCCCCTCCCCGATCATCCGGTCCCCGCTGGCGAATAGAGACCCTCAGCGGAGAAGCAAGCCCTCTTTCTTCATGGGCGAATCCCCTGGGAGGCTGCCTGGTACCCCCGCGCGCCCCCGGCCGCGACGCTGTCAGTCCACTGGGCTCCAGTTCGGGCTGGGTCGGGGTCCCTGGGGACGCCGCTCGGCTGCCAGCCCCGAGCCCGGCTTGGCTGCTGCCGCCCTCCCCCACTTCCAGCCCCACCCTCGCCTCGTCCCCTACCCTCAGTCCCAACCGAGGCCTGTCATTCCGCTCGGCCCTAGGCCAGCCCCGACCCCTGCCCAGGTCTGCAGCCACACATCCCGCTCCCTCCCTGCCCAGCGTCTCTTCGGGTCCGGGTCTCCGAGTCTCGACCCATTCAGCTGCTGGCCGGGCCTCTCCAGCTCGCCCGGCCCCAACCCCGGCGACTTGAGGGTGCCAGACCTGGGGCTCAATCCAGACATCCACTCTCAGGCTTCACCTCCCTCCCCCGTCTCCACCCCCACTACCAAAAGCTAACGGCGGGCTCATATCCGCCTGGGACCCTCGACCTAGGGGAAGGCAAGGAGGAGTCCGCGGGGGTTGGGGCTGAACGGGGAGGGATTTCTGTGCTTGGCTGGGGAGGGCACGCTGGAGCTCTAAGAGGAGGGGACCTTCGACCCCAAACCTACCACCTCCCGGTACCAGGTGGGGAAACTGAGGCGGAGGGAGGGGCTGGGGATGCCTGGAGCGGAGGGCTTTAAGGATGGCGGAGGAAGCGAATGTATGAGGCCCTAGGAAATGAGTCTGGGCTAAGCAGCAGCCTGTGCTTGCCCGCTTACCAGTTGTGTGTCCTGGACACTACCACTCTTCGGCTGTTTGGACCTGTTTCCTCATCTGCAAAATGGAGAGGTTGGCCAGCTGATTCAAGTGCAATGTTAACTTTACTGTTTAGTTTCCACGAGGGTGGGCGTCCTGGCCCATGGGCTCCAGGGGCTCTCCAGACTCAGTCTGTGGATATTGAGCTCTTCAGAGCCGGCAAACCTGTCCTCTGACCCTCAGTGCGAATCTGCCAAGCCCAAGCCCTAAGGCCTAGGATCCAGCTGCAGCCACCCTTCTGCTGACTCAAGCCCATCCAGCTTCCAGACTGCACTCCCAGGTGCATTCCTCATGTATTCTTCTTTCTTCTTCTTTCTTCTTCCTCCTCCTCCTTCTTCTTCCTCTTCCTCTTCTTTCTTCTTATTCCTTCTCCTCCTCCTCCCTCTTCTTCTTCCTCTCTTCCTCTTCTTTCTTCCTCTTTCTTCCTCTTTTCTTTCTTTCTTTCTTTCTTTCTCTTTCTTTCTTTCTTTCTTTCTTTCTTTTTCTTTCTTCTTCTTTCCTCCTCCTCCTCCTCCTTCTTCTTCTTCCTTCTTCCTTCTTCTTTCTTCTTTCTTTCTTCAACAAAGTCTCACTTTGTCATCCAGACTAGAGTCCAGTGGCATGATCTCTGCTCACTGCAACCTCTGCTTCCCAGGTTCAAGTGATTCTCCCAAGTAGCTGGGACTACAGGTGTGCACCACCAGCCTGGCTAATTTTTGCATTTCTTGGTAGAGACGGGATTTCACCATGTTGGCCAGGCTGGTCACGAACCCCTGACCTCAAGTGATCCACCTGCCTCAGCCTCCCAAAGTGCTGGGATTACAGGTGTGAGCCACCAGCCCTGGCCCTCCCCATGCATTTCTATGGCTGCCTCCCTTCTCTGTGCCCACTGCCCTCATTTCTTGTTCTGGTGTTCAAGGGCAGTGCTATTTGAGACAGTTTCCTCCAAAAATGACTCTCCCTGACAGGAACTGTCTGCTAGACTCCTGGCCTTCTTCACATATCCACTCTCCTGCTTTTGTCCTTGCTGCTTCCTCTGCCAGGATCATACTCCTCTGCCTGGTGTAAAGGACACTTCCCTCCCTCCTTGTGTGCCCACATCCTCCATTACTGGGGAGGGAGGTTGTGATTTCAGGGCTGCCTCCTATGGTATGTAGGCTCCTTGGGACAGAGGCCCAGGTGCCAGAATGGGCACCTAAAGAACACTTGTGGTTCTTCGGTGTTATATTTTAATGGTCTCAGTTTTATTATGCCTCTGTTTCTTTTCTTTTTTGAGACAGAGCTGTTGCCCAGGCTGGAGTGCAGTGGTGTGATCTTGGCTGACTGCAACCTCCACCTCCCAGGTTCAAGCAATTATTTGGCCTCAGCCTCCCGAGTAGCTGGCATTACAGTTGTGCACCGCCACGCCTGGCTAATTTTTGCATTTTTAGTGGAGATGGGGTTTCTACATGTTGGCCAGGCTGGTTTCAAACTCCTGGCCTCAAGTGATCTACCTGCCTCGGCCTCCCAAAGTGTTGAGATTACAGGAGTGAGCCACCACACCCAGCATTTTTTTTTTTTCCAGACAGGATCTTGCCCTGTCACCTAGGCTGGAATACAGTGGCACGGTCACGGCTCATAGCAGCCTGGACCTCCTGGGCTCAAGCAATCCTCCCACCTCAGCCTCTCATGTAGCTGGGACCACAGGCATGAGCCACCACACCTGGGTAATTAAATTTTTTTTTTTTTTTTTTTGTAGAGACGAGGTCTCACTTTGTTGCCTAGGCTGGTCTCCAACTCTTGGTCTCAAGCAATCCTCCTGCCTCGGCCTCCCAAAGTGCTGGGATTACAGGCATGAACCACCACACCTGGCCTATGCCTGTTTCTGTGTCTCTCAGTTTTATGGTTCTGTGACCACTGATCTCCCACCCTGCTTTCCCCCTTGGTGATGAGAAAAGAACATTAATGGAGGGATTGGAAGGACTGAGAGATAAAACTAGAGGCTGAGGGAGGAGATCTTTTCAGATCTGACACCAGGGAAAACTTGAGATTTGGAAACTTACTGTTTGTACTTGGGAGGACCAGAGTGGGCTGTGGAGAGGGCTGCAGAGAGGAATCTTTGATGGGTGCTGGGCCCCTTAAGGGCATTCCCCTTGCCATAACTCATGTGCCTCACCCCATAGTCCCCTGCTGGACATTCCACAGCTGTGGGTGGGGCCACAGATCCTCTCTCTCACCCTCAGGCCTCTGGTTAAAGTGCCACCATGAGGGTGGGGGTGTCACACATTAACTGGTAGCACCCAAGCACCTGGCAGAGTCAGCTTGCCCTTTTTGACAAGCAGGCCCCAGGGGCCTGGTTAGTCAGTTTCTGGTTAGTGTCAGGTCAGTGTTAGTTTCACTGGCGTTTGAAAAGGCCTGGCTGGAGGTGGGGAGTAGGAGTGAGTCCCTGTCTCTAATCCCCAGGCTGGGGCCTAGGAGGAGGAGCCAGGGTGGTCACTGGATCTCAGAACTGCAGTAGGGGCCGGACTCTGGCCCCACCCCTGCTGGTGTGGCAGCCCCAGGCTGACAGGCCTCTGCTGCAGCCATCCCACTGTGACTAGGGCTCTGGCCAAGGTACACAGACCCTGGGGCCAGGGTGGGCATCAGACACCAACAAGCAAGGCAGAGGCTCAGCTCTCTGAACAATGCAGCCTGGTTCCCTCCCTCAGAAAACCCCTTGCCCTTGCCCGGACCAGGGATTCTCTGGGACTAATGGCTCACATCTATCTATTTCTGAGTCCTTATATTCCCCCACTGCTTCATCCCAACACTAGCCCCAAAGTCAGCCTGCATCCAAGCTTAGCCCTGATCCCAGACTAAGCTCTATCTCCATGATGAGCCCCAGCCTCAGGCTGAGTTCTTATCCCAATCTGATTTCTAGCCCCTGGCTGAACTCTGACCCCAAGCTGTGCCTCCACCCAGACCTCTCTCAGCTTCCAGGCCCCTCTGGAAGCTTTTTGAGGCAAGAGGCCAGTAGGGGAGGGGATGGCCAGGCCATAAGTGAAGCGAGGTGCCACTTTTACAGCCATTTCGGCTGCTCATAAACACCCCCTGACACCCGGCGGAGTCGCTGGAGGCTCCCATGGCAGCTGGCTGGGCAGCCCCCTCCCCTTGCAGCAGAAGCACGGCTGCCCGGCTTTCTTGCTTCTCAGGAAGATGAAGGGAGGGACGATGGGGGCACGTGGGGCCAGCAGGCTCTGTCCCAGCCAGGGAGCACTCCCAAAGAGCTAGAGGTATGGGCTTTCTGTCCCTGCTGGCCTCATGGTTACAAGCCCCCTGCTGTCATAACACCAGGTCCACAGATGTGTCTCCATGCAGGCATGTCTTGTCTACCCCACAGCACGGCCGGCCCAGGTACTTACATACTCACCCCCGGGGAAACCACAGACTTGGACCTCCCAGCTGTGCTCAGGCCCCCAGGCTCCCCTGGCCCCCACTCACCTGGAGCCCACGGGCCTTCCAAGTCGGGCCTACAACTGCAGAGCAGACTCAAGTTGGCCACGGGGAGGCCATGGATAGTCCCTGAGCAGCTTCTGTGGCTCAGGCCTAAGCAAGGATAGCGCTGCTGAGGACGGGAAAAGGCCTGAGTCAGAGCTTCCACTTGAAAAGAAAAATTAATTATTTTTTACCAAGCCCTACACTGGCCCAGGACTTTGTCCCAGACCCCTAGTCAGGAGTAGGAGGCAACAGAGACAGATCCAAGCATGCCAGTGTTCAGATGCCCTGGGTTGGGCCCTCATCTCAGCACCCATGGGTCTGCCTGCCAGGTAACCGGGCCCACTCAGGCTGCCAGACATGTGTGTGTGCCTCAGTAGTCCTCCCCTTGCCCTGCCACGCCTCTCTCTTAGTCTCTGTGTCCCTGTCTGACCCTCTGGTCCTTTCCACATCTCAGGAATATCAGGCCGCCATGAGGTATGAACACAGCCCCTACTAGTGACTTCACTCAAGTTTAAGGCACCCAGAGAAATCAGAGGGGGGCTGGAGGTGGTTCTTGCCTGTGTCACGGGCAG